TTAGTCCCAGTTATATATAAACAATTTATTACTTTTGAAAATGGGACAATTACACAAGGAAAGTATTAAATTCTCCCAATACCACTTTTAAACAAGACATGATTCTACATTTTTAAGCTTTAAATCTTTTAATATGTCTCAGCCTCATCAACTTAAAAAAAAGACACTGTAAAAAAAATATAAAGGCCCTTCTCTGCAAACTTTTTATATATAACATGATGGGGCCATTTTTGGAAATTTTAAAAGAGATGTACATCTATAATGAAGTTTTATTTGCAATTCAAGTTCAAACAAGGAATTATTTAAATATGGAATAATTTCAAATTCTGCAAAATTGATTAGAACATATTTATGAAAACTAACCCAACTAAATATTTTTTAAACTTAGAAATGTGGTCCTTTTACATGTAGTTCTACGTCCTTTTTGAATCCTATCTGTTCTTGGCAGATAATCTTATAAGATTCTAAATAGTTTTCTAAACTATTATACTCTAGAAAAAAATGTTCCTAAACTAGTAAAAAGGGTTATACCTCTGTTGTTTGAAGGGCTATTAAAACATCTTCCTTTGAAAATGGGTTAAATAAATTTTCTCTCCAATAAGAACTTCTTGCTAGAGAGAAAATTTTATTAATTTTTAAGAAAAAAGTAATGTTTTATAATTTTATATACATATCATGCCCAACATTCAGCATACAAGAATTTTTCAAAATTTCATTAGTTATACCATTAAATCCACATGATATCTTGTTTTTCAAATATTTCATGGCAAGCAGAATTTAATCTATGTAATAGTACTTTAAAAAATCTTTACCTACATGTTTTAAAAAAATTCAAACCATTCCTTAGCTTGTTTAATTAAACTTTGGCTGGAACATGCATTAAATATTTGTCACTGGACATTAAGATTCCAACAATCAATCAATATATTTGAACTTGAATCATTGATTTCTTTCCTTTTTGTCTTGCCTTGACAGAGTCCAAAAGCAAGACATAGCATATATTAGGTATGCTGTTTTCAGCGTCATCAACAATGTATTAGTTAGTAAAGTAATATAAAATAGTGAAATATTGCAGACATTTTCTACTGGTAGATATTTGTAACAATGAAAGACAATATATTCATTATACAGTTTTCATGATTAATTGCACAGGCACTTGTCTCAAAAAAAAAATTCCTATATACCTTAATATAACATGTGTTAAAGGAAATTTTTTTCTGAGACAAGTGCCTGTGATTAATCGCTAGCCCTTCAAGGCCAGGCCAGATATATTTTTTGTAAGTATAGATAATTGTTAATGTGTCAATCCTAGTCAGGAGCCTTTAATTTAGTAGTTATAGTTGGTTAATTTCTGATATATATACATATATATTTGTTTTTTTATTGTCTTATTTTATAATTTAAAATCAAGCCATTAGTTTTCTTGTTTGAATTTTCTTTCATTTTTGAATGTTGTGACCTTTGTAGCTGACTAGTACTATGCGATTTTTTCTTGACTGTATTGTATTTAATATTTTGACTTTTTTTTATCTTTTGTAGAATCAATTAGAAGAGCCAAAATTTATAAGCTTAGATTCAAAACATTCTGGAGGAACAGATTGTGTGAAGGTATTTATCCTTTTATAGCCTCAATCTATATCACAAAAATGTATTTGTGTTAAAATATACAATTACCATTAAGGGAGTTGATTTTTTGTAAGACCAAGTAAAGGTTACAGGTCCTAATCTCAGTTGGGAAAATGGTACTGTACAGTTTTATTTTAGTACTGGTGAACTCTACCGTTACAGACTCGTATGATAATAATACACCTGAAACTCCACAGATGTACGTGTATATCTTCCGAATCCAGCCACACTGATTAGATGTCGCTTTTCAATATAAATTTTTATGAAAACAGACTGGATTAAAATAAAATTTTCTTGTGTAATTTGATGAAATTTAAATTATCTCCACTAGTTTACTCACTAAACAACAGGACTAATCTGTTAACATTTTCTTTACAGAAGCAACAGAAGTCAAGAGAAATAAAAAGAATGGAACAAAAGAAAAATTGAAAAAGAACAGTGAAATGACAAAATTAAATAAAAATTTTGCATTTCTTATTGTTGTTATCTTGTGTATTGTTGACCAAGACAGCAAAGAAAACCATCGAAAAGCTGTTCTGAGACAGAAAATGACAGATGCTACACATGATCAAACAAAAGATAAAAAAACACTTCTAAGAAAAAAATTGTTCAATGCTGGACCAAATGAAATGCATGAGGATATTTATAATCTGAAATAAAATGCTTTGCTGAGCGCAGCCTGATACGACCGCAGAACCCTATAGGTGTAACACCACTAATTCAGCCCGGCCAGAAAGCACATACCAGAAAGTAGTACATATTTAACACAAAATAGTTCCTACGCATGAGTGTAACTTTCAAAATATGTAGAATATTTAGGTATTGTTGGTATCAAATGAAAGCTGAATGACTGGTGATCATTGTAGAACACTTTTTGACTTATAATTTTGAATATAAAAAAAAAATGCACTAAATTTTATAAAGAGGGTACTTTTTGCCTGTATGTCAGATCTGAAGTACCTGTTTTGGTACATCCGAAGTTCCGGGAACCAGTTCTTTCTTATATGCCATTAAAGGTATGTTGATTTTTCCGGTACAAGACACCATAAAGTGTTGCTTTGACATGCAATGATTGTCACTTTATTTGAACTTGAAACAAAAGAGCTGTGTCTGCTTGAAATTGAGGAATTTAACATAGAAAGCAATGGGGCCATGAATTAGTGGTGTACTTCCTATACAGTTGGGGCAAATTTGGACACAATATTCAAGCTTGATACTGTCTGAATTTGGATTGTAATCAAATTTTTGACATAATATAGGTTTCTGACACAAAATAAATGTGGTCAAAGATCTTATAAATCCATTGCGCAATACTGTGCAACTGAAGATTTCTTCTTGAAACTTTTCAAATATTCGAAATTTTATAAATTTTGAAAAAAAAATATGAATCCCTTAAAAAAAAAAAGTGAAAAAATTCCCCCCCCCCAACTTTTTGAACCCCTCCTTGGAGCAATAACCCCAAAACTCAATCCCAGCCTTTCCTTTGTAGTATGGAACCTTGTAGTACAATTTCAGAGAGATCCATACACTTACACACAAGTTATTGTCTGGAAAATAGAAAAATGCTTGTTTTTGGCACCTAATTCCTACATGTTTGGGGCAATTAACCCCAAACTCAATCCCAGCCTTCCCTTTGTTATATGGAACCTTGTGGTACAATGTCAGAGAGATCCATACTTATACACAAGTTATTGTCTGGAAACTAGAAAAATGCTTGTTTTTGGCCCTTAATTCCTAAACTGTTGGCCCTATTACCCCTAAAATGAATCCCAACCTTCTACTTGTGGTATTAAACATTGTGGTACAATTTCAGAGCATTCGATATACTTATACACAAGTTATTATCCTGAAACTAGAAAAATGCTTGTTTTGGGCCCCTTTTTGGTTGGGACCATCATCCCCAAAATCAATCCCAACCTTCCTTTTGTGGTATTAAACCTTCTTAAAAAATTTCATAAAGATCCATTCACTTAAACTAAAGTTATTGTCCGGAAACCAATGTGTCTTCGGACAACAACGCAGATATGCAGTATGGGCTTTGCTCATTGTTGAAGGCTGTACGGTGACCTATAGTTGTAATTATTTCTGTGTCATTTGGTCTCTTGTGGAGAGTTGTCTCATTGGCAATCATACCACATCTTCTTTTTCATATGTGTTCAGTGCAAAATCCAAAAAAATGGACTATTCAATAAAATTGATATCTAAGACAGGAAATATTGGGGTTTGTCAATGAGACATTAACCCGACAAAAATAGACAAAATATATATAGATTAAGCCGGCATCAACAGCATGCAGACAAATGTAAAAGGAGATGTGGGGTAAAGATCAGTATGACGGCAGTTGTTTTCTCAAATGTGGATCCAGGATTTTGAATCTAGATAAAGTGACCCCCCCACTCCACTCTGAAGTAACTGTATCAAAACAAAGTCAATGTAGGACTTTCTTTGAGATATTATTGTGTCTGGGAGACACAATTGATGCCCCCGTAGATGCAAAGTGTTATTTTAAAATAACTATAACATATAACCGCTTATACCCCAAAAATGACAAAGTTCAACTATCTCCCAAAAGGGCAAATATCAATAAAAATCAAAACCATAACCACATGCACATCTTCAATATATGTACAAACAGACAGCAAAGTGAAAACTTCCTAGGATTCTAACTGTAGGAGAAGTTGTGCTGAATAACTATATACCCATAATGGGACAAACGGACAGACAGAAGGACAGACAGGGGTAAAATAATATGCCCCCAACTTTCAGTTGCGGGGGCATTAAAAGGGGTCATCAGGCCCCAAACTAGACAAAGTTTTGAGAGTAATAAAAAAATCTGGATTTACCATAAATGTAGCTCCATAAGGGCCATAAAGGGGGACCCAGGCACCCCACTCCTAAATCTGTCTCTGATATTAAACATTGTTTTTTATGTTTCTGAATATTTTATAAAAAGACTTGAAAGATTATGTTAGAAAACATTTTTATAATGATATTTCGAATAACATTTAAATGATTTTTTAATGATTTTTTGAGAATATGAAGATTATTAAAACATTTTTCAAAACATTTTTTCCTGCAGAAATGAATTTTTATGTTTTAAAAATGTTTCAGGGATAATTGATTAACAAACACATTCAAATCATTTATAAGACATTTTACAAACATTGTCGTCAAAATTCAGTAACATTTTAATGATGTTTTAAAAGTATCATGAAAATGTTTAGAAAATATTTTTAACGCCATACATTTTTGCATGATTTTGATATTTTTCTACAATATTTTTTCAACATATTTTTTTTGGTGCTAACTGGGAAAGCAGTGGTAAAACAGCACCACATTAGAACAAATAATAAAATCAATTGCATGTAAATCCATTTCATCTTTTATGCATATTTATTTACAATGTATTTTTATGAAATTAGAAAGAACACAGCAAACACAGGTAATTCTGAAACCAAGTTGAATTAGAAGTTTCCACGTGGAATTACATGTTTCAGATTGTTTATTCCCCTGCCACAGCGGAGGAGGGGCATTAAGTTTTACCCTTGTGTAACTTTTAGATAATACAAGGACTCTTTTAATGTGAATTTCGGTTGGACGACACTTTTCTATCACAAACTACTTTCTTCTGATCTAGATGGAATTTCCCTTTCAGAAAAGTTTGTGTGTTATTATAAGGAACTGTCTTGGCTAGTAGATAAATCCTGTTCCATAATTCCACTATTTGCCATTTGTTGTCACCTTTGTCAAATTTTTTTTACATCTGGTTCTGACAGAAGTATTGATCCTCGCACTTGCAGCCACTTGGATTTTAACCATTAATTCATTTCAAACATAAAGATGTATCCCATTCATCACTTCATGGTTGGGTAAAAAGTCTGTTATCCATGATGGCTTCTGAAATATTAAAACAGGAAAACACAAAGCATCATGTTATTTAATAAACTGCAGGTTCAGAAATTTTTCTTATCATTCATAAAGGACAAGCGTTTAATGCAGGGATGTGTTTGATGTTTTTTTCTAACAAAAATACTCTTGATTTCCAACTTTGAAGAATTAAAAAAAATTGGTCTGACAGCTTTTGCCATAAGTTTAATGTAAAGTCCTTAGAAAATTCAGACTTTATTGCGACAAACAAATAGAAAAATTATGCTCATATGTACCATGGTTTTTTTTAGAATGCAATATAGGGATTGTCATATTTCCCAATACATGTAGTTCTCTTCCTTTCAAGCATTTTTTTGTCAGGGAAATATATTTCACTTGCTATAATTAAGTGCACAACATAATTATTATTTCTTATTTACAATGCAAACAAAGGTAAAAGGGTGAAAAAATGTGAAGACTAGAAAAAAACTTACAAAGTGTTAGGGTATATTTGAAGAATAAAATACATCCCTGTGTCATCCCCCTATTATAATAAATAATAACCTGTCAAATTATTGGGCTGTTTAATCGAGAAAAAATAAAACAAAGAGGTTAAATACTGTACTAAATATAAGAAAAATATAAATACATAATAACCTAATCCTGTTGTTAGATAATCTCCTGGCATGACATGGTTACCAGCTGGTTATGGCAAACTTGGTCGAATAGTTTCCGCCGGGTTTCCCTAGATATTTTTGATGGGTGGATCAACTCTCTCGATGCCTTCTCTCCATTTTAAAAGAATTTCATGGTCTTTTGGGATTCTGTGGTCCCCCTTCAGAATAATTGCAGCCGGGTTCACAACAATTTTGAAGCTTAGTTTGGTGAAATTAGCGAGTGTCGATTGTGGTTACTAATGTAAACATGTGCAACGTAATGCGATTCAAGCGTCAAAGTGATTAAAACGTTTCCGACAACCACTTATGGAACACCAGCGACGTCTACAGGAAGAAATATTACGAATGATCCCTATTGAAAAACTGTGATCATGTCTGAAGATAATGTGCCACCTATATATATATATATATAAACATATTCTGATAAATCTTTTAGTTTTTACTTTGAAATAATAAAAAAAAAAACACACAAAACACAAAACCTATAATCTCTGATCTATTGGTAGTTGCTTTTTAATGCCTATCTGCTAGACTATATCTATGGGGACAAACTATCTAATGTTTCAAATTTATTATAGCTTTAGTTTTACTGTGAAATTAAAAAATGTTTTCAAAACATGTAAAGCTTCCACTGCAATTTAATTATTGCCTGCTTTTGGTCAAATTATTTTGTCATCTTACCATGTAAGAAGAACATGTATAGTAAAACACCGCTTTATATCAGTATACATACTTACACCAGTAGCTACCATCTTTTTATTCTGGAGTGAAGGGCCTTTTGAAATCACATATTTTACAATGATTCTAGTTAGTAGATTTACAAAACTTCGTTAATGAGCTCCGTTTTACAAACACCTGTGATACAAGTAGTCAGCCAAAATAAACTATCAATAGACCAATTAAAAGATTACTTGAGGTGTAAATATGTGCTAAATTGGATAGTCTATGGAAAGGTATATACTATGAAATTAAGAGCTCGGGGCAAGCCCCTCGCTCTAAATTTCATAGTATATACCTTTCCATAGACTAACCTAGACTTATACCAGCACAAAACTTCCTGTAAGTGTTCATCTTACCGTGACCTCGTTCATGGTTCATTGGTAAACGTCTAGATTTTTGCAATTCAGTCCGTTTCATGGATAAAAGATAACGTTAGTTTATATGATTTTAAGGTTAAGTTCAATTCAGTAACGCAGGCGAGACAATGCAGTATATGCTAGTTTTTATCAAAAATGATGTTTTTGGCAAACTAGGCGGTAATGTAGAAAGCGGCATAACTCTTTGACTTTATGTTGGAGAAATGCTAATACTAAGTTAGGTCCTTCCCCTGATGAAAATAATTTTGATGTATGTAAGTTAGTATTAAAGTTTAAAAAGTAGCATAGTTGTGTTTTACAGATGCGAAGAAGGAGGAAAGTGGGAAAACTCGACTAAAGTATATTTGAGATATATGTTTTAAACATAAAAAAATAATTAAAATATAAAAAAAATATCACAAAATAGATAACAATAAAAAAAAACACAAAAAAAAATGAATTTTGCTAGCTATAAAATGAGAATGGAAATGGGAAATATGTCAAAGAGACAACACGACCAAAGAGCAGATATATATGTGAAGCTTTGACTTTAATGAGATTCAGACATTCGTACTGACAACATCTGCCTAATTGGTTTAATTTAAGAATCAAATTATTCAATTAGCAAAGCAGTAAAGCATACATTTTTACACTTCAATGATCACACTAGTTTGAAATAGAATTTTATTAGTATATACGTATAATCGTGCATTGAAATTTACTCACTAGTTTATTTCGCTCTTTTTGTGGGTTAATTTTGTAATTTCCTTTGTTTGTTGTAAATTTCTTATGTAACTATTACAAAGTTTTATCTTTGCTTTTTGAATTTGATAGTACGTTGAAAAATCTTAGGAGACTTGAAAAGGAGAGAAAAAAAAAGAAACAAAAAGTTACTTTTAAATTGATAGTAATAGAAAGGTCATTTTTATAAATTTCCTGTTGCAAAACTTTGAATTTTTCGAAAAAGTAAGGATTTTCTTATCCCAGAAATAGATTACCTTAGCCGTATTTGGCACAACTTTTTGCAATTTTGGATACTCAATGCTCTTCAACTTTGTACTTGTTTTGCTTTATAAATATTTTGATCTGAGCGTCACTGATGAGTCTTATGTAGACGAAACGCGCGTCTGGCGTATTGAATTATAATCCTGGTACCTTTGATAACTAATTAGAATAGACGATTCACATAACATTAATTCTTTAAGAAAATGTTCTATTGTTACGAAAAAATCTTTAAGGTTCATCATAACAAATGGACAAATATGGCTGTATTTACACCTCAAAAACTACTCTCTGTACAGACTTACCTGTAGAGTTTTGAAACTTTTAAGGCCTGGCATCCACTAGATGTGTAAAAGTTAAATGCATTTTGTGTTTCAAAAAGATAAAATCTTTTTTTTGATTTTGATAGGCATTTTTTTTCGTTCCTGCAGAAGGTGTAAAAATAAACTACAAGTTGGGTAAATCTTTGAGATGCTCCCTCTCGGGGAACAAGTGTATTGCATTGAACTGATTGTCCTTGATTGGCATGGACAATGGAAGGACAATAGATATCTACACAACAATAGGTGAGTAAAAAGGGTGTAACTGAGTTGACAGTATCAAATGTAATTTAGGCCACACCAAATTAATTTTCTAGTTCTTCGGACTCTTTCCTTTGAAAAAGGGTAGCGAGAGAGCGACATTTTTTTATTTGTTTTTTTTCTTTCTGAAATTTGATTTTTGGCAGGCGAAAGAATATTTTACTAGCGAGCGGTATTATTTTTGAAATATTTTTAAAAAAAATCTATGAAAAGAATTTTAAGCAAGCGAGCGATTAGAAATTTACATAGTTTTGGTGCTTGATATTTTATATATCTCATATTCTAGTTCTTATATTAACCTACTTTGCTTCTCTGTTTGTTCTCTAACATCCAGTTTAATCTTTTCAAAATATTTCCAAGTATAAAATGGTTAACTTGTAGCAAAACCTACAACTTTGTGTAGTCTGATCAAATAAATATGATCCTGTTGAACATGAAAAAGCGCAACAGCTTTGATCAGGCATGCATCCATGTTTAATGTAAATAATGAGTGATGCATTGTATGTTGCTTTAAATAACGTATGCAACATACAATGCATCACTCATTATATGTTGCTTTAAATAACGTATGCAAAGCATAAATGCATGAATAAAACTTCAAGTTGTATATACAACCAAAAATATTTCTGTATATAACAAGCTGAAAATTAATACTGTCCTTCAAAACCACACCAATTTATACCATTCAAATGAACTTATCAGATGTTATATATGCTATAAACTAAACAAAAGGAACATTTCAATACATTCCACTTACGTCATTGCTTTCCTGTAGAATTTAATGATAATCAAATTTATATACCGGATATATATACATGACTATATGCATGTGAACATTTCTCTGTGTTGAAGGCCATACCGTGAACTAGTTGCAAATAAGCTCTTCATAGATACCAGGATTAAATTTTGTATTTACGCCAGACGCGCGTTTCGTCTACAAAAGACTCATCAGTGACGCTCGAATCCAAAAAAGTTAAAAAGGCCAAATAAACTATAAAGTACGAATTTGAAGACCATTGAGGACCAAAATTCCTAAAAGTTTTGCCAAATACAGCTAAGGTACTAGTAATCTATTCCTGAGGTAGAAAAACCTTAGTATTTCAAAAATTCAAAAGTTTGTAAACAGTTAATTTATAAATATGACCAAATCAATGATAATTCATGTCAGCACAGAAGTGCTGACTACTGGGCTGGTGATACCCTCGGGGAATTAAAACTCCACCAGTAGTGGCATCGACCCAGTGGTTGTAAATAAACTCTTCATAGAACTAGTTGCAAACCTCAACAAATTTGGTTTTCTGGTTGAAGGTTGTCTCATTGACAATCATAAAAATTCTTTTTTTTAGAAGATTTTGTAAACTGTAAAGACAGATTAATGTGTTAAATTCAATTACCACATAAGCATTCTTGTCAATTTTCATGCTTTTAACTAGTATACATTATTGTTTAGGGGTCAGCTGAAGCCAGCCTCTGGGTGCTGGATTTTCCAGCTGTGTTGAAGACCCATTGGTGGCCTTGGGCTGTGTTCTGCTCTGTGTTCAGGTTGTTGTCTCTTTGACACATTCCCCTTTCCATTTTTAATTTTATTTTAATATAACTTTGTAATGATACTAGCAAATATAAATAAATTTCAAATATTTTAAGGAAAAACCTTTATTCTAAAAAAAAAATAATCAATATAATAATATAGTTTCATTTCAATTTGGGATTCTCTTTTATTCTTATGCATGTTATATTGTCACAATTTAAATCTTTCAATACAGTGACACCGTTGCTTTGTCGTTTGATCTTGAAAGGTATACAGTATATCATTCAACTGAGACTACTATAACACAGTTATAGTAGTCTCAGCATTCAAGGATATTACTACACCAAGCGTGAGTCAAGTAATTCACTTAGTGGGACACCTCTTACAATATCACTTAAAGTTTTAGTTGGTTCTTCTGCTGTTTGAATCTTGGTGAAAATATCCAGTGATAGTAGGTTCCAATCTTTAATTGAATTGGTATGAAGCAGAATTTTAATGTGTCTGGTTTTGTTTGCAGTCTCAGGAAATGTTGGCCATATAAATGCATGTTTTTTGGTTGTCCTAGATGTTTTTTTTTCTCGGGTTGAGTTGATCAGATCATCATTAACAGGTGGTAAGTTGGCCTAACCGTGTATGGCTTTGCAGAAGAGGATAAATCTGTTTTGGGGTCGACGATCTTTTAGGGATGGTAGTTGCAGCTGGTCATAAAATTGCTGTCATATTTTCTGGGTCGTGATAATTTGTAGTTTGATGTTTTTGCACGGAGCACTTCCAACAAATCGGTAAAAGAATTGCCCAATTCATATTCTACTGATGTGTTTGCCTGCGTTACCACTGCAACTACAAATATTCCACTCATGTCTTACGTTAAGAATGATTATCATACTAAATTTGGCAAATGAAATT